CACTTTTGATCAATTTAATGCACCCTTGCTGAATAAAAAAAACTATAAAAAGTTCTTAAACTAAAAGTCCTTCAAAAAAGAAAATCTTATTGACCCCAAACATTTGAATGGTTATGTAACAGATCACCGAAGCCAATGTCATGACACCTACTTGGTTATGTTTTTGGTTTTGAATCTGTCCATCCATTTTACCTGAAGCAACTCTTCAGACGGGAGAAACATTCCACTGTCAGACTGGTTGTCCTAAAGTAAGATAATAAAAAAAAAAGTCAATCTCAACTTCACCCAAGTGAAATTCAACTATATTCTAAAACACTTACATCAGGGATTTCTTTGTGTAGATCCTCAAAAGTGCTGATGGCTTTGATTTTCCCAGCGCTAAAATACATATAAAATTATTTTAATTTAATTGTACTTTAACATTTTTCATTTTATTTAATAATTAATTTGAAAAGTTGTAATGATTTAATTTAATATTTACTTTGTTTAAATTGAATTTTTATTTAATATTTATTTGAATAAAATTAAAATATTAACAATATTAACAAGTGTATTTTTTAAATATATTTTGAATTGTAATTATTGTATTTCACATGTAATTGTACATATTCAGTTAATACGTTAACATATTAACATACATTTGTACCTTGAAGTTCCCAGTGTTTTCTGGCTTATGTCATTCTCTTCGAGGTGCGCTGTGACCGTATTTCCTTCTCCAGAAATAAAAGTGTTCAGTGGGACATAATCCTTTCCATCCTGTTAAAGAAAAAGTGTGTGCAAAAAAAAGTTCTGACCGGTCAAATAAAAACAAGGAAAATGGCTTAATAAACACACTAAATAATGTCCCACCTGTTGGACGCAGGTCTGCAGTAGGTCTCCCAGTATCTCCACAAGAGCAGAGAAAGAAGGTCTGTCCTCAGGGTTATTTTCCCAGCATGCCATCATAATGCTATATCTGTCAGACAAATCCCACAAGCTCATTATTAGCAATGTATTGGTTCACGGGACAATGATTGAACATGTTTTATATGGTGTATACAGGGGTGAGAACTGACATCTCTGGGGTGCTGTACTCAGGAGGACACATCCGAGTCCCCTGCTTCAGTCTGTGACAAAAATCCTCATCAATGTTGAGCCCCGGGTACGGAGACGCTCCTATGGACCAGAAACACTGTTACATGGGACTGTTCTGAGGTCAGAGATAGATGTGGGGATCAGTCACTTTGTTATAAAGTTTCACTTTCATGCTTTCTAATGAGTTTCTCACTTTCATTCTCTTGCTATGACATGGCAGAATGACAAATGTCGATAGTTCTATTGTGCCATATTTCAAAGGGATTGTGTTATGAAAAAAATTATCTGTGGCATGTGCCGAATGCTTGAATTATCTGATGTACATAAAGAGTATTGACATCACCAAGTGAGAAGATCTCCCAGAGCAGAACTCCATACGACCACACGTCACTCTGAGTGGTGAAGACTTTGTCGAAGATCGATTCAGGTGCCATCCACTTCAGTGGTAACCGTGCCTTCAATGCAAAACACATTCATTACACACATTTGGCCCTGATCATTCTTTATATTGTTGACCATAAACTTTAATTTATTCATGGCAGAACACTCACATCTCCCTTGCGCACATAGTCTGGGTCTTTGTATACGTCTCGGGCCAAACCAAAATCACATATCTTCACCACATTGTTGTTGGACAACAGGATGTTTCTGGCAGCAAGGTCACGATGAATGCACTGAAAACATGAAAAAAAACTTCAACCAATTCCATATTCATGTTCATATACCATGATGCAGACAGGAAGATGTTTTACCTTGTGAGAAGCGAGAAACTCCATACCTCTGGCTACCTGAAAGCTGTAAGAAATCAGGTCTTCGAGCAGCAGAGGGTTGTTGGATTCAAGAAGAGAACCTGCAGAAGACAAACAGTAAGACTTTAGTCTCTTTAATGAACTGACCCAAAATATCTAATTTTAATATTAAGATCAAAATTAGATTTGTTTTAGATCCTATCCTAATTCAACTATTTGAATAGTTCACCTAAAAATGAAAATTCTAAAAATGAAAATTCATTATTTACTCTCATGCGCTGCCAAATCTGACTTTATTTCTTCCATGTAACACAAAAGGTGAATTTTTGTACAATATCCTGAAGAATATTTTTGATCCATGGAAGAAAGACAGTCATACAGGTTTGGAACGACACGACAGTAGTACTAGCTTTCAAAGGTTTGTGGGTGTTAAAATGTTTTAATGTTTTTGAAAGAATTATTTCTGCATTTATTTGATCAAAAATACAATAAAAACAGTAATATTGCTCAGTATTTTTACAATTTAAAATAACTCTTTTCTATTTTAATTTATTATAAAATGTAATTTATTCCTGTGATGACAAAGCTGAATTTT